GGTCAGCAGGTGGTGGTGATGGGGTGGGGTCAGGGGTCAGCAGGTGATGAGGTGGGGGTCAGGGGTCAACAGGTGTTGATGGGGTGGGGGTCAGGGGTCAGCTGGTGATGAGGTGGGGGTCAGGGGTCAGCAGATGGTGGTGATGGGGTGGGGTCAGGGGTCAGGGGTCAGCAGATGGTGGTGATGGGGTGGGGTCAGGGGTCAGCTGGTGATGAGGTGGGGGTCAGGGGTCAGCAGATGGCTGTTTCTGCCTCTTGACTTATACACATCACAAGTATTATAAAAACTCTTATGTTCAGTCTCTTAATCTTTTCTGCGTTACATCAGAAGCAGTTTGAATTATTTTAATCATTTTGTTGCTTAAACAAGGAACATTTTGTTGACGGACTGAGTGGTTAAGTCTTCCTGCTCTACAATATGTAGCAGTCATAGTTTGCTTGGTCGACTGTATTAGTTGGTTCTGTGGAAGACACGCAGCCCATCCTTTTGTTTCGGTAGTGCTGATAGGAAGAATGCGTACCATAGTACATATACTGACTTACAACGCAATTAGAAAGGAGAAATCGATAGTATTAAATTACTAGGCCTAATACTCGCTATCAGAGGCCTAATATGGAGCATGTGTGCGCTATTCTAGGCCTAGGAATAGTTGTGATTTTTAACTTAATTTTTTTTCGGACTGTAACGCGAATAGTAGAAAATTCGACTATCTAATTGCTTAGTACGTCAATATTTGTACTATGGTGCAGACAGTTACAAAAAAGTATTATATAAACGGGAGGATGAGTTTAAGAGACACATAGATCACACTAACGTGATGCATCAAACCATGTCGTAGCTCAGTCGATTAAGGCAGTGTCTGGGATGCTCCCGGACGCAGGTTCGAATCCTCGTCACGGCCCTTGTGGATTTGTTCATGAGTTGAAGAAACGCTAAACCATATCGATGAAGACAATTTTATATTAACAAATGGTTTTCTTCAGCAGTTAGTGATTGTGTAGGGGTTATTCTTTTTTCTTAATTTGCTTGGCTTCAACTTGTGGTGTTGGTAGTGGTAATCTTGTAAGGCAAATTGACATGTGTGTCACTTGTCCCGTAACTTGGAGCACTAAAGTTTGTATTTAATTATGTTTCATGATGATAACAGACAGAAACTAGGTCCTGTAAGTTTGACATGTATCTGTAACCTCTCAGAGAGTATTATTTGTGTCCTGCTGCTGCTGCTGCTGCTGCTGCTGCTGCTGCTGCTTCTTCTTCTTCTTCTTCTTCTTCTTCTTCTTCTTCTTCTTCTGCTTCTTCTTCTTTTTTTTTTTTTCTTTCTTCTTTCTTTCTTTCTTTCTTTCTTTCTTTCTTTCTTTCTTTCTTTCTTTCTTTCTTTCTTCTTTCTTTCTTTCTTCTTTCTTTCTTTCTTTCTTTCTTTTTTCTTTCTTTCTTTCTTTCTTTCTTTTATGAAGGCGATGTAGCCGAAAACGCGTTAGGCATTTTTTTTTTCACATGTGGTTTTTTCCTCATACTTGGATCAGTGTTTTTTTTTTATTGTGGCCTGGGGCCAGATTCACGAAGCAGTTACGCAAGCACTTACGAACCTGTCCATCTTTTCTCAATCTTTGGCGGCTTTGTTTACAATTATTAAACAGTTAATGAGCTCGGAAGCACCAGGAGGCTGTTTATAACAATAACAACAGTTGATTGGCAAGTTTTCATGCTGGTAAACTGTTTAATAAATGTAACCAAAGCCGTCAAAGATGGAGGAAAGATGTACACGTTCGTAAGTGCTTGCGTAACTGCTTCGTTAATCTGGCCCCAGGTTCGTAAGTGCTTGCGTAACTACTTCGTGAATCTGGACACTAAGCCTGGATGTACTTGGAGTATTTACCCACGATGGTGACAGAAAACGGACTAGTCTAAGAGCCTCGATGGGTCCTCACGAGTTATAAATGATTAGCAAATGCTAAGTAATATAAACAGTTGTACTATTTATTTTTTTTAATACAACTACTGTAGTACTGCCTTCGATATTGTCTGTTTGACGAATATTGATGTTTTTCGTGACTGATTTTGATGGTTTCGTGGCCCAATGTGTGTGTTGTACTGGAGGTCAAATTATCCGATGGTTGTTACTATGCACGTTACTATGTTACTATACTGCTGTTACCTAGCAGTAAAATAGGTACCTGGGTGTTAGTCAGCTGTCACGGGCTGCTTCCTGGCGGTGGAGGGGCGGGGACACTAAAACCCCGAAATCATCTCGAGAAGATGGGAGTCTTAACTTTAAGGGAACCCCGTCCTTCAGTAGTCCAACTGTGATGACTTATTCTGTCCTGCCTTAGACTGTTGTACTAAGTCGTAACACAAGATTTACCGCTGAGAAAGACAGGATTCACTGAACTGCAATTTCGTGCTGTAAAAAAATGCATTATCTTTCAAGTGATAGTTATCAAAACGTGCGCAATGTATATATATATATATTAGGTAAAATAGTGAAAAACCCGATTTTGGATACATGGGAAGTTATTAATGGGTGGAGTAGAAATGGGTGGCGTATGAATGGTTGTGTGAGGTAGACACTAGACTGTGACAGATGTGGTGGGTCGACACTAGACTGTGGCAGATGTGGTGGGTCGACACTAGACTGTGGCAGATGTGGTGGGTCGACACTAGACTGTGGCAGATGTGGTGGGTCGACACTAGACTGTGGCAGATGTGGTGGGTCGACACTAGACTGTGACAGATGTGGTGGGTCGACACTAGACTGTGACAGATGTGGTGGGTCGACACTAGACTGTGGCAGATGTGGTGGGTCGACACTAGACTGTGGCAGATGTGGTGGGTCGACACTAGACTGTGACAGATGTGGTGGGTCGACACTAGACTGTGGCAGATGTGGTGGGTCGACACTAGACTGTGGCAGATGTGGTGGGTCGACACTAGACTGTGGCAGATGTGGTGGGTCGACACTAGACTGTGACAGATGTGGTGGGTCGACACTAGACTGTGGCAGATGTGGTGGGTCGACACTAGACTGTGGCAGATGTGGTGGGTCGACACTAGACTGTGGCAGATGTGGTGGGTCGACACTAGACTGTGGCAGATGTGGTGGGTCGACACTAGACTGTGACAGATGTGGTGGGTCGACACTAGACTGTGGCAGATGTGGTGGGTCGACACTAGACTGTGGCAGATGTGGTGGGTCGACACTAGACTGTGGCAGATGTGGTGGGTCGACACTAGACTGTGACAGATGTGGTGGGTCGACACTAGACTGTGGCAGATGTGGTGGGTCGACACTAGACTGTGGCAGATGTGGTGGGTCGACACTAGACTGTGGCAGATGTGGTGGGTCGACACTAGACTGTGGCAGATGTGGTGGGTCGACACTAGACTGTGGCAGATGTGGTGGGTCGACACTAGACTGTGGCAGATGTGGTGGGTCGACACTAGACTGTGGCAGATGTGGTGAGTCGACACTAGACTGTGGCAGATGTGGTGAGTATAATGTCCGCGTGTGTAGATGGGTCGGCTGGTTTATGCCTGAGGATGTTGTGACAGAGTTGTGTGTGTGAAATGAACATTTGGTACTTACATGGTGTGATATAAACATTGGCCAGTAGTTGAGGGCGTCATGTTGGTACTAATATGTGTACAATGGTGATTACCAGCCAGGGTACTCCACGGTGGAGGGTGTGGAGCAGCTGTCAGGCTGGAAATCGGGGCCAGATTCACGAAGCAGTTACGCAAGCACTTACGAACGTGTACATCTTTCCTCAATCTTTGACGGCTTTGGTTACATTTATTAAACAGTTTACACGCATGAAAACTTGCCATTCAACTGTTATTGTTATAAACAGTCTCCTGGTGCTTCAGAGCTCATTAACTGTTTGGCGGCTTTGTTTCCAATTATTAAACAGTTAATGAGCTCCGAAGCACCAGGAGGCTGTTTATAACAATAACAACAGTTGATTGGCAAGTTTTCATGCTTGTAAACTGTTTAATAAATGTAACCAAAGCCGTCAAAGACTGAGGAAAGATGTACACGTTCGTAAGTGCTTGCGTAACTGCTTCGTGAATCTGTCACCTGATTGGTACATGGCGAGCACGTAATGTTTACAACAGTGTGACCCAAAAGTTTTAGATATTTAAAATAACGTATTGCCTGGAATATCTTTGTCAGATACTGTATTAGATTTGTTAAAACCTATTGAGACATTTTCTTCAAGAAAGTTTACCCTAAACTTGCAGTTATTTATAGATCATATTTTAGAAAACTAAAATCGAGAACACTTTTACTTAAAATTTTGCCAAATTCTCAATAAAGGTTTTTATGGAAGACAACTGAAATATTATTCTTCAGTGACAGAAATGTTTTTAAAGAATTTTTGCAGAAATACATCTTTGTAAATTAGAGCTTTAAGAAATTCAAATGACTTTCACACAACAGTAATAGGAGTAGACAATCTGACCGACCTCACAGATTTGGCTATTTACTTGTGTCGTTAATATTAGCATCAGTATACTGTAGTATCACTACGATTAATATTACAAATTCTTCACAATTAAGTATAGTAGTAGTGTCCATAGTAGTGCTACACTTTGTAGTAAAAGTATTGAATATGATGTTGACCAGACCATATACTAGAAAGTGAAGGGATGACGACGTTTCGGTCCGTCCTGGACCATTCTCAAGTCATTCTCCAACTTGAGAATGGTCCAGGACGTGACCGAAACGTCGTCGTCCCATTTCATTGTGATGAACAATGGACCTGCTAATTCCAGTTTGCACTGTTCTTCTTTCTTCAAATCCATCCAGGAGTTCTCGTCTAATGACACTTTTAAGGGACCTATTTGATAACTGAAGCCCCTTCACTTTCTAGTATATGGTCTGGTCAACATTAGCCACGTTATTGTAACTCTTCGCCTACCTATTGAATAAGATATTAAGATATTGTTTTATGATTTTCCATTAATATTTGTTAAGAGAAGTGTGTGTGTGTGTGTTACAGGTCAGAGTCTGGGCTACGGGTTCGTCAACTACGTTCGCCAGGATGACGCTGAACGAGCCATTAACCAACTCAATGGTCTACGACTCCAAAACAAAACGATTAAGGTCAGATCATTTCTCCACTGCTGGTAGTTACCTCTTGTACTAATTTTAAAATCAGTTGGATAGTCACCACATTTCTCAAATTTATTTTATCTTTGATATATTACTTTATTATGGGTTTCTTTTATATTTTTTGTACAATATTAACATACCTGTCCACTGTGATGGTGGGTACTAATGATACCTGCCCACTGTGATGGTGGGTACTAATGATACCTGCCCACTGTGATGGTGGGTACTAATGATACCTGCCCACTGTGATGGTGGGTACTAATGATACCTGCCCACTGTGATGGTGGGTACTAATGATACATGCCCACCATGATGGTGGGCATGTATGGACATTTTTCACAATTAGTATGTCACATATGCACTTATTAAATAAGCCAATATTGACTGTAAGCAAGTGCGAGAACGGGTTGGGACATTAGTACCCACCATGATGAAGATATATCCCGTAATCAGTCACCACTTCCATGTTTATAGAACTTTCAAGTGTAGCCCATATAAGGTGTGGGGAATTGGGTCGGGTAGTCTCTGGAGTTTATGTAGAGATGCTGTGAAATATTTGATTCAAGGTGGTGGTTAAAGCATGTAAAGTCAAGCCAGTAGTTGAGATTAGGGTTCAGTTCACGGGGTTAGATGATGGGTTCAAGTATCTTTGAGGGTTTAAAGTATAGTAGATTTTGTAAAGGGTTTGATGCCTCGTATCTAACGATTGCAAAATTGGGTTAGTATGGAGTGGAGTACTGTAGAGTTTGTTGTTGAAACCATCAAGCCCTATCAGTTAGCCACTTTAGCCTCTAATACAACACTAACTCATCCTAACACACTTGTTACACAAACAACAAAGAGCTCTATTGTTAGTGTTGCATTAGAGGCTAAATTGGCTACCTGATAGGGCTTGATGGTTTGAACAACGGAGGTACGGTTAGGTGTGATGACTGTATATATAGAGAGAATAGCGTAGTATTGGGTGTAGTGTTGACAAGTGCATTGTAACAGGTGTCGTACGCGAGGCCGAGCAGCGAAGCTATTAAGGGCGCCAACCTCTATGTGTCGGGGCTGCCCAAGTCTATGACGCAGCAGGACCTGGAGGGCATGTTCCGCGCCTATGGCTCTATCATCACCTCTCGCATCCTCTGCGACAATATCACAGGTGAGCACCACTCTCTTCCACCTTTCTCCTCTAACTGCAAACATACAAAATATGCAGTGTGTGTGTGAATGTATGTGTATATATATAATATGTATATGATAGTGTCAGACCACGGAGGGAAATTGAAACAGGAATTTCCTTAAGTACTCACACCCCAGAAGTGACTCGAACCCATACTGCTAGAAGCAATGCATCTGATGTACAGGATCCCTTAACCACTCGACCAACACGACCGACAAAAGAGGATGGTAGCCGAGGCTATTTCCATCCCTCCCGCCGGCACTCGGTTGGTAATCTTGGGCATCGTATTATATCAAATCACCTCATTCTTTGGGGCACACGTGAGGAACGCAAACCTATTCTGTGTCACAAACCTTTTTTGTGTTCCTCACGTGTGCCCCAAAGAATGAGGTGATTTGATAAAATACCATGCCCAAGATTACCAACCGAGTGCCGGCGGGCTGATGGAAATAGCCTCGGCTACCATCCTCTTTTCTCCGGTCCTGTTGGTCGAGTGGTTAAGGGATCCTGTACATCAGATGCATTGCTACTGGCAGTATGGGTTCGTGTCACTTCTGGGGGTGTGAATTTTCAGTGGCATATATGCCTGGAGACTGTTCAGGCTTGTTCGTGCATATATATATATATATATATATATATATATATATATATATATATATATTATATATATAGGCTTGTTCGCATATATATATAGATCTATATATATATAGATATATATCTATATATATATATATATATATATATATATATATATATATATATATATATATATATATATATATATATATATATATATATATATATATATAACAGCAGTTTTAATTGATACATTGTGCAAATGTCTGGTATAATATAGAAGGCTCTCTTTTGTTCGCCAGGATTGTCAAAGGGTGTGGGTTTTATCCGGTTTGACCAGCGTATTGAGGCGGAGCGGGCAATCCAAAAATTGAACGGTACCATCCCAGAAGGCGCAGCAGAGCCCATCACTGTCAAATTCGCCAATAATCCCTCGAATAACAACAAAGCCGTGCCGCCATTGGCCGCGTACCTGTCCCCTCTGACCCGTCGGTATGGAGGACCTATCCACCATCCAGCAGGCCGCTTCCGCTACATTCCCCTCTCGCCCCTAACCAGGTGGGTCTGTGTGGCTGGAGCTCTGTGCTCGCAACCCCTCTATCCCCTCCCCCTTCACATACTCCCCCCTCACCAGCAATGATCACTCTTTTTCTCCACAGTGCATCACATGCATCCCTTCTGAATATTGTCACTTCTTCTCAGGTGTGGATAGTGTAAACATGCTCCCTCTGTGTGCCACATGTCTACACACCTGCTCAACTTCTCTGCCTGTACAGTGGCGAAACATGTTAGTATGGACATCAGATACACTTGAAGCACATGATGGACATTACAACCACCACCAGCAGCCTCAACAGTGGTCACCATCCCCAGTACACACCATCCCCAGTACACACCATCACCAGTGTACACCATCCCCAGTACACACCATCCCCAGTACACACCATCCCCAGTACACACCATCCCCAGTACACACCATCCCCAGTACACACCATCCCCAGTACACACCATCCCCAGTACACACCATCCCCAGTACACACCATCCCCAGTACACACCATCCCCAGTACACACCATCCCCAGTACACACCATCACCAGTACACACATTCATACATGCCCAGCCATGATCAACAACACTTCCACACATCACATGGAGAGTAATACCCGTCATCCCACCACACAACTCTTCCCTTAACACTGTACATAACACCCACCAGCGTTGTTTTTGAACCTACTCCCATTCATCTCCACACCATTGAACGACATTCATTGAAGAAGTCAAATGTTCATTGTTTACTCTAAAAGTACTACGGTATAAGAAACATTGTTACGGAAGGTAGTTTCTAAGGGAGATAAGGAAGATCAAACTTATTGTTAAAATTAAAGTTTCCTGTATTTTAAGTTGGTAGTTAGTATTAGCTCCTGAGCTAGTTAGTGCTACAGGTGTGTCTTAAATGGTAGTTTACAGAGAGGTTGTAAGTTTTTATTTATAATTCCTCGTGTAACAGGAACTTCTGTTACTGTTAGGAAACAACATTCTGAACCCGTTACCACAAGCTCATTGCCTGTTACAAACCGTTGTGAAGTATTCGTGGTCACTTGTCATTCTTCTTCTTTCCTCCGACCTCACGGCCACGAACTACAAAATTTTTACATAAAATATTTATTGCTTGAGCTGAATAAGATTTTCTTGCCCCGAGATCTTCATTTTAAACTCATTTCTTTTTCTAGTATACATAAATCTTTCACCCCAGTTTCTTGTCTAAATATAGTTGACTCCTTCCCAAGTTAGTGTTCATTGACTTCAGTATTGTTGCCTTTCTTTACCAAAGACTGTTCCTGCTGTATTTGTATAATACGTTTTATATAATACTGTATTTGTAAAATACGTTCCTGCTGTATTTTATTGTTGTTCCCTTGGAGGATTTCTAACTTTCCCAGGGCTGATTCTTGCTTCGCTCTGTACCCGGACTTGGAGGCAAGCTTCTTAGCTCTGTACTCCGTCCAAGAGGCGAGCTGCCTCACTGTACCCGTCCTCGAGGCGAGTTCTTGTACCCAACCTTAAAGCGAGTTGCTTCTATCTGTAATCGTGAGCTGCTACAGTCTGTACCCGTGGTGTAGGTCATTTGCTTTGCTCTGTACCTTATCCTAGAGGCGAGCTGCTGCCTCCAGTCTGTTAACGCTCATGATCCCTGCCATATATGAAGGACGATTTAGGGTTTGGCAAATGGTATGCTAAAGGGTAGGCGAGGCGTTACCTTGGAGCTTTTCCGGGGCTTAGCGTCCCCGCGGCCCGGTCGTCGACCAGGCCTCTGCAGCCATTTTGTCCTCAAAACTTCTGAGTGGTCAAGAACACTTGAGGCTGCCCAAACTTTAATTCACGTTCCACGCCACGAAATTCAGTTTATGAAATAAAGTACATAAAATAGTACTCGTAAATCTTTTCCACCAGTGGCTCCATATGCGAGGTACCGTTTGTTTCATTTTGCCTTCTAAAATGTCTTAAAAGTGAAGAAAATTGACCATTATTCAAACTAATGCCGTACTAAATATTTGTAAAGGGTTGAAGACTGTCTGGGAGCACTCTGTTACTTACATTGTATTCCTTTGTTAAAATACTCGCAAGTAAATTTTCACTCAAGTGTAAAACTAGTTGGCTTGATGCTGTGCACCACTCGAGGCTTAAGATGTCGGTATGGTCCTAGCTAACACGGACTTCGTAAATCTGTTCCACCTGTGATGCACAGTTTGGTGTTACACAGAGTGAATGAACACCTTCGGAAGGTCATGGATTAGTCTACAGATTGCTCGTGTGCCTACTCACACTTGGCCTCCTAATTCTTGTTCTCCATGACCCGACCTTGTCTGAATCTGCATACTACTTACTAGGTCTAAATTCCTTGTTAGACTGCGTCATAATTTTACCCAGTAGACTTTCACAATCTCGGTATCCTTAACATTTCCTTCACTTTCCAGTCTCGGCCTCGGTAGCCTGGCCTCTCCTCCATCTGTAGCCTTCTCTCCCCCATTCCATCCATAGTCCCAGTAGCCTTGCCCCCTCTTCCATCCGTAGCCCCAGTAGCCTCGACCCTCTTTCATCCGTAGCCCCAGTAGCCTTATCCAGTCCTATCCATCCACCCCCCCCTCCTGTAGGCTGGCTCATCCACCCCCCCCTTCTGTAGGCTGGCTCATCCACTCCCCCCCTCCTGTAGGCTGGCTCATCCACCCCCCACCCCCCTCCGTCCTGTAGGCTGGCTCATCCACCCCCCTCCTGTAGGCTGCCTCATTCATCCCTATCCTATCAGCTGACTCCCCCTCCTTCCCCCTCCCTGCACAAGCATTGTCTGGATATATTCTCACCTATGGCTCTTTTTTTTCTCTCCCACATCCTATGAGAAATTATCTTCCACGCATGGACTGATTTATCTCCCCTTCCGCAATTCTACGGCCCAGTTCTTATCTTATCCTACGGTCCAGCCTCGCCCTTGAAATAATTTTCCGTACATATGGGTCAGTTGGTCTCTAATGTCTCCCTGCTCTTTCAGTAAAGTTTTGCTCTTCTGTTGAGTAAAATGATTGATTTGTGTAGCATTATTAATATGGATTGCGGGAGTGAGTTGCTGGCTCTTTTAAAGTTGGGGTTTAAAGTTGGGAATATAATGCACATACTCTTCAGATATAGTCACACGTTGTACATAGGTGTGTAATCACAAGTGCACTATACATATGCAATATCAGACTAGCTGCAGGATCCTACAATAGGCTCTTGACACATTTCAGAGCAAGTCAGAGAAATGACAAATGGGATAAATTAAGCACAGAAGTGAAATGTAGCATGTTCAAAGTGTTAGGAATGGGTATGCAGGGATATGTGAGAGGTAAAGCAGCAAGAGTGTGATATAGCACCCAAGGTCAAGGACCGGCCCAAATTACTACATACAGTATCCACATTACAGGAATATGACAGTGATACAAGATGTAAGGGAACGACTAGAGACGCTGCAGGCCCCCAAAAAATAATGCATCGTGGATATTAAAAGATGCAACAGCAAGTATTATGTAGACCTTTTTTTGCTGTAGAATGTGACTTGAAAATGAACAAATATCAGACTTTTTAGAAACAGCTAATGTGTGTATGTAGCAAAGGTGAACTAGGAGCCACTGAACTACAGATCACCAACATGCATCCTCTGCAAGGTACTAGAAAGAATGATTAGGCGGGAGCTTATAGAATACTTAAGTTAAATTTCGACTCCAAACACTAACGTGGATTCTGCAAAGTTGTATATAACTTGAGTTTTACTAAAATATGTACTAAAAAAGAACAGGGTTGGTTAGACTGCATATTCTTCATTACTAGACAGCATTAGACTGCCCCTCAAAACTCAAATTTGAGAAATAGACGTGTGTGTATCACGATAAGTGCTAAAGTGAACGAAATAGTACCTAATTGGAGGCAGTCAGTGAGCAGGGATTTATCAGAGTGAGCACAGTTAGAACTGGGATTTCTACAAAGAGACAATCTGTTAACAATATATGCCATAAAAGAAGAAATATGATCCTTTACATTAATTTTTGCAGATGATGCAAAAATATTTATGAATTTGAAAGAGGAAGGACTGTATGCAAAGGTTATCTAAATGTTTACTGGCCTTTAACTCTGACAAATAGAGACGGCAAACCTACATCAGACATATCCCGAAATCTGACTTCAGAAGCACACATTATAGGCTTCAGCAACACGAACATAGGCTCGTAGCTAACGTTAGATCCATTCCTGGAGCATAGTGCTGCACCATGAACCTCCACCTAAAATACAAAACAAGCCTAAAAATGGTTGACCAGACCACACACTAGAAGTTGAAGGGACGACGACGTTCGGTCCGTCCTGGACCATTCTCAAGTCGATTGTCAATCAACTTGAGAATGGTCCAGGATGGACCTAAACGTACGTCGTCTCTTCAACTTCTAGTGTGTGGTCTGGTCAACTTACTTTAGCCACGTTATTGTGACTCATCGCCTGCAAGTCTAAAAATATGTAACAAAGATCGTTACTGAGCTATGTAGAAAGAATGAGAATCTTTACATCATCACACTGAATGTAGTAAAAAATAGGGAGATATGATGATGAAGTCAAAGATTTTACAGAAAATTAAAGAGGCGTTTAATTTGAGAAAAGGATTGCAGATAAGTCTAAAACAGATCCTGGCCTATTTTATAAATTCATTAAAAGCAAATTGCATGTAAAGGATAGACTCCAGAGGTTGAAAATGGAGAATAGTTCAGAGAGAATGGAAAGGAAATATGCGAAACGCAAAATTAAACTGTTCCCGAGGGTGTCTAGTTCTCTTGAAACTTAATTTTTCACAGCCACAATACAAATTTCAGAGAACGCCTTAGAACCCAGAGGCATGTCTCAAGACGAAGTGGGGGGAAATGCTTAAGTTGATAGGTAGAAACAAGGCAGTTGGGCCAGATAGTCTCACATTGAGTTGAGAAAATGTGTATCTGTGCTGAGCAACCCACTTAAATTGATTTTTTCAGTCTTCTCTG